TAAGAATGAGAAACGGATTTCAAATAGAATATGGTAGAGAAGAGAATAGTTGCACAAAAGGAGCTAAGTGAATGTCAAGTATGATATTCATAGTGAACAATCTATGGTAATTTATAAACTAGTATCAACTAACCAATATCATCCTCATCAACACTATCATTATTTTACTAATTAATATTCACTTTTAAGTTTATTTCATACAATCAGTCCTCTTTTTTTACATATTATTTTCCGCTATATTTCTCTGCATTTCTACACTCGTTCTTATAATTAGTCATTTATTTAGATAAGTATCATTCATGCGTAAATCACTAGGGTGTTTTTGTTGATTTCCCAATAGTCACATACAAACACAAAATAAATATACACATATAATGAACTATAAATAAACATACATACATACACGGAGAGGGAAGAGGAATATACTAAACATGATTCGACATGATCTCTGTTTATTAATTTGTCAATTTAGTTGTTGCCACCATTCTTACATTTAATCTGGTTGTATAACCCTTCACATCAACATTATCATTATCATTTTGACTGTTAATCTACTCCGAAGAGTAATAATCATATTGTGATGAACTGAATCATGGAGATTGTCTTAATTATGATGTATCCGATTTGTTAAAATTTCCATTTGTCCGTCAGTCCCACACTTAACGTCTTCGATTTACAATGAGGATAAGAATACACAAGAAAATTGGAGATAACATTACTGACATTACTTAACAAGAGCAGACTCAGGAACTTTACTGAGTCAGCTGACTGGTTTGCCATGAAATTACGTCCAAGCTGCCCATCTCTCTCTCTCTCTCTCTCTCTCTCTATATATATATATATATATATATATATATATATATATATATGGAGAGAGACTTATTTACTTATTTACATAAAATATCATGATTGAAACTATGTATACCTTCGCTTTATGTGTTACATTGTCTGTAGTTAAACAAATTTAAATTACAGTAGGATTCGTAGTTAACAGAATTAGATGTAAGATATTGTAAAAACCAAAAGCTGACCGATATGTGAAAAATTCTGTTCAGTATTTAAACCAATAATCTGATTTTCATGAATAATTGTCAATCATTCATTTAACATTAACTCAGACCATCGATTGCTTAGTTATGATCACACACAAACATGAATAAACTTCCTTATTCAACAATAACACAGATCAATGGAAAATTGTTTACTAACTCTGCATGACATTCAGTAATTAATTTGATTAAACTTGGCCAATATTGCATTTTTTTAATCAAGGAAAACGCGGCTATCACTATACACAAAAAATTCGTTTAATCAGGATATGCAGTGACTGTGATCGAGGATTACTTCCTCAATAGCTCCCCCCTTTTGTTTATCAGAAAAATTGTTCAGCAATCACAAAAGTTTATATTAACTATTTTAAACTTTTTATTCGGATGATAAATACTATTATGTTTGCTGTATAAGCTTGAAATGAGCACTTTTAACTTGATCATTAAGAGGGATATGTGGAAATTGCAGAATTTTCACGGCCGAAATTACCAGTCGATCGACAGTATAGATTTTGAAGACCTTGACATTTGACGGCCAGCACGGAATGCAATGGAGAGCTCGGAATCAGTTAGAAGATTTGGAGTCCATAGACAACCTGGCCATACTAGCCCATACACACGAACAAATGCAGATGATGATAACTACTGTAGCAGCAGCCTCTGTATTAGTAGGCCTCAATATGCACGAAGGAAAAACCAAGATCCTCAAACACAACACGGAGAACACCAACCCAGTCACACTTGATGAAGAAACTCTGGAAAAGGTGGAAACATTCAAAAATCTGGTTAGTTTCATCGATGAACGAGGAGGATCTGATGCAGATGTAGGGGCAAGGATTGACAAGGCAAGGACAGCATTCCTACAATTGAAGAACATATGGAACTCAGAACAACTGTCAACCAACATCGAAGTCAGAATCTTCGATACGAACGTCTAAACAGTTCTATTATACGGAGCTGAAACTTAGAGAACTGCCACGACCATTATCGAAAAAGTGCAAGCATTTATAAACAGTTGTCTACACAAGATACTCAATATCCGTTGAACGGATGCCATCAGCAACGACCAAGTGTGTGAGAGAACAAACCAGCTTCCAGCTGAAGAAGAAATTAGGAAAAGATGTTAAAAGTGGATGGGACATACATTACGGAAATCACCAAACTGTATCACGAGGTGAGCTCTAACTTGGAATCCTGAGGGTAGACGGAGAAGAGAACGGCCGAAGAACACACTACATCGGAAGTGGGAATCAGTCATGAAAAGGATGAATAACAACTGAAAAGAGATGGAAAAGATTGGGCAGGACAGGGTTGGATGGATAGTGCTGGTAAGAGGCTTATACTCCTCCACGAGAGTTAACAGGCGCTAATAAGTTAGTATATATGCTTGAAATGAAATAGATGGATTCGACAATAAATACTGTCCCGTTTATTTAAATGAATAGCTGAAAACGTTTATTTTAGTATTTTGAATATCTAAAAATGTTTGACAGATTCTTTCTACATAAAATCTTTAAGTGAACATTAGAAAGAAAGGAAACAAAACAAGGGAAAAACACACAATTTTAATAACAATAATAATCACCATAGTTTTAACGACATCCAATGAATGACCAAATTGGTTAATAATTACGATAATTACTACTTTTCAATAACCAGTCGATGAATTATAAATTAATCACGATCATATATTCAGCTGTTTTAATGTATAAACAACATTATTTTTATGTTACTAAGCTAATCGAATGTTCTTAATAATTGTTAAAAATGAATCAATATAAAACGTGTCGTGATCATATATATAGTTGAAAAAGATGAAGTTTCAAATCTAGTTCCAATTAAACGTGTCGACGTATTGATCACTACAAAGGTGATACAATAAGACATTTGCAGTAGTTCAAAAAGTCTCTAGGCTATGAATACGAATAAATACGAACTCCTAAGTAAAAGATGTATGTATACATGAGATATGTAACTTCCATTAGATCCACCATATACACTGGCATACACAGGCAAGTTTGAATAAAGTTTTACGCTATGAAAGTAACCGTTATTTGTCAAACATTTCACTGTGATTACTCGAGAAGTTGAGTAAATCCTACCTATTTGTATCACAGCCAGTGAGTGTAGCTAACTGATAGTTGGGTAATCAATCACTGAATTATTAAGTTTAAAAGTATTTTTTTTAATGAAAACCATATCACATCAGGAATGAAATAAGGAAATAGGAAATTCGATAACATAACTATTTGATGCTGAAGATGTAACAGTTCGTTCTGTCCTACTTTACGGCTGCAAAAAGTGGATATTACGAGTAGAAGATACACGTAAGTTCCTAGTGTTTGATCACAGATGTCTTAGAAATACTGCTCGCATCTGCTGGGATCACCGGGTAAGTAATAGTGAGGTTAGAAGCAGGGTATTAGGGAATGATGGTAAATCAGTTGATGAGGTTGTGAATCTTCATCGACTGAGATGGTTGGGACACGTGTTGCGTATGCCTGAACACCGATTACCACGATGCGCAATGCTAACTGGTGTTGGGGATGGTTGGAAGAAAGTTACGGATGGTCAAACCAAAACGTGGCATCAGTGGTTGAAGTCACTAACTTCTAGTCTGAACCATGTTGTTAGATGCAGACTAATTGGTTGGGGTCCGCGTGACTATCGTAACCAATGGTTGGAGACTCTTGGTGACATGGTTCAGAATCGATCACATTGGTGTAGGTGTATACACTCTGTCTTCCCTTAAATCGTGAGATCATAATTGATTTATAACGTTCTTTTTAAGAACTAATTCTTTCTTTCTGTATTATATCCTTATACACAATCTTCCTTTTATATATTACTATCGTCAAAGTAAGTACCATGAATTTGGTGTTCATCTTGTTGTGCTAATGAGGTGTGGCAACTTGGATCGATGCATATATGTGCCTGGTCCTACGTTGTAGCTGACTGATATATATATATATATATATATATATATATATATATATATATATATATATATACTTCTTTAGGCCTGAGATTATTGAGAAGTACACTTAATAATCATGAAGTTATATCATAGCTAGTACAGTGCATTCAACGAATGTATATCTATCACAGTTCATAATGAATAAACTGGGTAGTAAAGTCGACATGTCTAAATAATTTCTTTAATTTTATTGTATTCTGAAGAGGTCAAGTAGTACTCGAATAAAGTTTCATTTTTATAGACAAAGAATTTATAACTAGTGATGGTTTATACGTTTGCCTATCAATACATACAACCAATTTCAATATACAGTTGTGCAAATGTGTCTCTGTATATGTTGTCTTCTAAATAAGAAAGTTTAATAACCAACATTATCACCCCCCCCCCCAAATCATATATATATATATATGCATCCATGCATACATGATTAGTGTGTGTTAAATTAAAGATAGACAATTTAGTAAAAAAAAAAATGAAATACGTGTATTTATGTGTCCGTGTGAAATGTTTAGGCTGTTTTCTATATAGCCAAATGGATAAACTCAATCATAGGAGGGACAGCAGGATAGCAAGGCTACAGGGCTATATAAGAACAGTATAAGCTAATATTAAGGAAGAAGACTATCCATACTTATTTGAGATATGAAAACATATTGAACTGTAGTTATTTCTATGCTGGTTATTCATGTAAAGTTTTTTTTCTTTTTTAAAAATTATAATACAAAACTGGATGACTACTGATCATTTGAATAATTATATCATAGATATCAAACAGATTTACGATATCTTTACGTTAAGCGTTCGCGCGCGAGACCTAAGGTCCTAGGTTCGAAGCCCACGTGTAAGTTCGTGCATGCTCATGGATGAGGAGTCCCATACTAAGACTTAATGACCGTCCAATGTTTTCAGGTTTTCAATAGTAGTCTAACATTAATCGATTCATGACCCCAATCGAAAAAAATGTAAAAACTTACCGGTAAAAGATGAAATCGTTTTTTAAGATCTGAACTAATTTTTAATTCATTTGCCGACTGCATTAATTTCACAGGAAAATATACACGTATTGTAGCTAAAGCATCGTTTATTATAAAATTATCATTAGATAGATTTTCCATTGTATCAATTCTATTCGTTAGTGAATTTGATAATTCCTTACAAGAATCATTTATAGATTGAATAACTAATCCAGTAGTTCCTTTATTATTACGATGAATAACATTAGAATCTGAATTATCTTTTGATTGAATATATCCATTCGTTGAATTTCGATTCTGTTGTTGTTGTTGTTGCTGCTGTTGACCTTGTTGTTTATCATGTAAACGTTGAAAGAAATGTATCGGTGTACATAGAATTGGTATTTTTTTATTATTACTTAAATCTAATGGTATTGTATAACCTAATTTTATATCAAATTGTGATTTACCATATTTATTCCAACATGGATTATGTATTCGTATCCGATTATAAAATAATTGGGATTGATGTTCACCAAAACAATCGATTAATTCAATTTTACATCCAGTTAATTCACTTTTAATGAACATTTGTCTTTGAATATATTTTTTTCAATAATAATAATAATAATTTGTTTTAATGATGTACATTGGATACGTAAATAATGATATCCATAGATATATCCACGATTATTATTTTGCTTGAATTGAATCAAAGGGATATATTTCATATAAATTTATACATTTCTCTTCTATCTCACTCTTTCAACAATTATATTATTTAATATAATAAGAAATGCTAAAATAAACTTAGTCTAAAATAATTTTAATATAGTTGGTCACTATTTATTATTTCAATACAATAGTAATCATATATGTTACACGCACAGAAGATCATGTAACTACTTATGTACCTACAAACTTTACACATTGTGATATGATTCTAAAATCGATATATAGATTTAGATTTAACAGATTTATAGAAATACATTTGTATGTATTTTTACTGTGTGTGCATTCATATGACCCTGTGTGTATATATATATATATATGTTAGATAAGATGTTGATACGATAGATCGTTACACCGCAATCATATATTAGCATACTTATTATCCAAGCGTTTTAAACGTGTTCGTGTATATTAATACGGGTATGTTTGTATTCAACCTATTAATTTGTTCATGTGTGTGTGGATGTGAATATGAATGTGTGCATATGTTAATGTAATACTTGTTTATACTTGTAATCACAAAATAGATAGTCCAATTATATTCAATGAGCACATTGGAATAGTAACACTATAAACCATAGCAAAGAAGAAAAAAAAGAATTATTGTGAACATGTTTAGAATAAGATTTAATTATCATCATCATCATCATCATTTATGATGAAGAGAAATTTATGAGTAAAATTTCAATATGGATATTAAATTTATTTCATTGTGGAAAATTTATTTTTAAGATGATTCTAAAATAAAAAAAATACAAACAAAATAATATCAAACATTGAACTCAACTAACTTTGATGATGATTGCTGGTATATTTTTTTTCCTTTATCCACTAAAAAGCAAACAAATTAAATATTTGTGTGCAAATCTGTTAGAATAAGCATGGTTTGTTAGAGGTCGTAATTATTCATACCGAGCGTTTTAGATTTTTGCTTTAGGTCAGTATACAGAATCTGGCCTGTCTGTCTATCTATTTATATATATATATATATATAACTATACATACTAACTAGCTAGTTTGTCTATTTGTTTGGTTGTTTGTTAGCTGTCTAACAATGCTTGTTGGTTAGGCCAAAAACAACTTAAACATATTATGCTTATGATCGATTGGTTAAATATATTTAATCGAAAATCCACCCCTTTACACATAATAACATACAACACAGGCATGGGCTGATTTGTTTGTCCAACAGGGGGCTGATTTGAATTTTACCATCTGGCCAACTCAAGTCATATTATGGACTTTCGGGAAAACGACGCTAATTAAGGGAAATAGAGGATTTAAATAATCATCATCGGGGATAGATTTAGAAATCCATGTAACCCTGTTTTCTTATGATCCATGTATAATAAACCCAAAACCGCGTCGTCAATCAAACTGATTTTGTTTTTGAAAAAAACACAACCCATTTCCTTTAAGATTAAGACTAGACAAAAAGCAAACATCTGTATTTGATTAAAAGTGAACTTAGAAATGGCATTGTTTTAAAAAAAAATAATTAAATTAGTTTGTCACTATTTCAGACATGACTGAAATTATTGAGATATAATGAAAATACGACACCATTTTTAAAAACTTAATTTCATTATTCAATACGACTTTGTTGTTAATTTATTAATAAAGACAAACGTTCATCCCGGATTTTACCGCTAGCCACTATTCACCTCTGCTTATGATAACAATCTGCCCTGATTCTTAGCAAAGTTACTTTACTCATATTTCATGTTGTCTTCTTTTAGTGAATCGGAATTTTTTTTAATCATACGGTTTTATTTAGTTAATATTGTTTATCAATGGACGGTAGTTGTATGTGTGTGCACATATAACTTATATTAATCGGTCATTAACTAACAATCAATGATGTGTCTACTTTTCAATGTTATCGGGATTGTGCGTACAGTATTATCACCAAGCTAAGTTACTATGAGTACCGAGTGGTAACCAGCACTACGCTTGTTTAATCCTTTGTACTGATCAAATTCTATTGTCCAAGTTATAAAGTGGACGCTAGTCGAAGTGATTTTGCATTGTGTGTAATATGTTGAAATATCAAGTGGTTGGAGGTAGTCGGCAGGTGACTGCGGTCCTTATTTTTATTCTGGTCTGCACTCGTCAGTTGGTCATACCTGGAATTTTGAAGGAACTTCTGTTCCTTTTGATGTCCAAACCCAGATCACCTAGCTGTACAATCTGAGAAGTTGCCACCTAACAACTTGATAGACATAATCCAATCAGTAAATTTAGTGTTTCATATAATCTGATAATCATAATGCAGTTTGACCAAAACATCAGCAAAACTATAATTTATTGATAACACAAAATTCTAAGGTGTGATAACCACTTACTACAATAAATTGATTGGTTTATCAGACTTATTACGATATACTAATTGCCTTTAAATTGAGTGATAAACGAAATATCAAACAAATGATCTTTTGGTTATTACAGTAACACTATGATAAAACATTTGTGGGTATGTGGGGATTTTAAATAATAATTTCCACTTTATACCAATAAGTATTGACAAGAACGTAGGTTTTACTGATACTTAACTGTTGTGCTTTTGAGCATTATGACAGGAGGTTCCAACGTGTGCTACTAGTATGCAAACTGACAAGTGAAAAAGTCATTATAGTACAGGCATTTGTGATCTAACTATCATTACTTCAAATTTCGACCAGGTTGTTATGTGTAGTAAAATTATTATAATATGATCAATGACGCATACTAGTTTCACTTTGAAACCATACATACAGGGGGGAAGCAATGTAGACTGAAGATCCAGTAGAAAATAAGATAGAAACCCTTCAGAGACTTCAGTCGTAACCACATAATCGGTTGATATGATCCTAAGGGTTACAAAATAGAACGACTAATTTTCAACTACACACCTTACCGAAAACTTACTCATGTGTATCCAGTTAAAAAGAGGAAATCGTTAAAACGGATAGATCATTTAATTCGGCAAACTAGTAACATCTATTGATGACAAGTGTTCATAAGTGATATTACCGATTAATTGATGTTTAGTATTACTCAGTGTAATGTATTTAAATTCGACTATTGTTCAATAAAAGCTCAGAGTATTTGAATATAGTTTAGGTCTATTTTTTTGGTGTATAGTTGACCTTCATTTGTGATCCATGCTATCTTCCTTACCTTGACAAATATGAGTCTTCGCAATTATAGTATTTAACTCTAGTAATCACAATTCCTAACTAAAAATATTGGTTACACCAGTTTAAGTCAACAGTAACCACATAAAAGATTACAAGTTGGAACTTTTTGCCAATATTTTCATTTAATAACTATTCTATTCAGTAGTATTTTTGTTTACTTTTTAACGAAACTTAAAAATGCATTTAAATGATGAACAAAGTGAACTGAACAAATATTAACCTAAACGGGTTAGTGTGTGCATTTTATCATTTATTATAATTTAATAATAAATTCTCACAAAATCCGTACAATGAAAAGCATGAAAATAAGATAATTTCTTATTTTCCACACATTACAAATCACTGAATTAAATTTTATTCACTAGATTAGTTTTTATGATTACCATCATTGTGCATAACAGAAGCATATAAGTTCCATGTTGCAACAGAAAAAACAAATCACAAGGTTATGGAATTTTGTCAAAATTAACAAGAAATGAAGAACAAACGAAAAGAAGAGAAAGAAACGGGAAGAAATACATGTGGATAATTTAATCTAATGTTAAAATATTTCGCCAAAACTCTTATTCTTATGTTTTATCTCCTTGAACAGCTTATAGAAAAATCCATTTATGCCACGGACTAGTGGAGAGTCTTGATATGAATATTCCCAATTTAATCCTACTTCAGCCAACTCCACAAGTCATATTCAGTCGTTTTATGACAAATCTAACGCCTGACCCTAGGACAACTTACTAATTGAAGGTTCACAGGTCTGTCATTTGATCTACCAACTTTGTCGAGAATACTGCATCTGAAATCAGTACTTCTTTTTTGGTTGTTCTAACATACCCGAGCCACGATGCAAAAGATACTTATCGTTTGAATGTTTACAAGTGAGGTTTATTCTTACATCTGTTGAATGGCACAGAAAAGATCGTAACACAGTATAATTGTCATTTGAGAGACAATAGTGAAAAAATACAGTGTAGTAAGTTTCAAATACTTTTATCTGAAACCAGTTTATCAGGGCTGATGTTTTCATCACGGTTTGTTCAGACAAGTTTTGGATCATTACATTGCATACAGCAGTTTGGTAACATTCTTTCATTCTTTTAATCGATTTTTTTAATTTGGAGTGTATTTACTTTTATTTGTTTATTAATTTACTCTTTTTTATATGACTCGATCGGTTGTAGTGAAGGAAATCGACGTTACAACTAATTTATAAGGAATTACTATATTATACCGTTATTTTTTGTCTTGTTTATGCTCACCCTGGTTATTAATGAAATAACTATTGTTTGTTTTAATAAAAATGTGAGTGAGGTCAAATTTCACCGTAATAATCTTTAAAAAATTAACGTCAATTTCACAGAATATTATTTCTTTTCTCTTTTTTTCTGCATGATCTGCCATCTTCCACAGAAAACACTTTTTTGAAATATGCGGATGATCTCACTGTATGCATGCCTATCTCTTCCTCTTTACATCCCATAGAAATGAATGAGTTTTTGTCTCGTATTGATTGTTGGTCTGTTGGTAATGGTCTCATACTTAGTCCGTCTAAATGTCAAGCTGTTAACTTTAGCATGAGACATGAAGGGAATCTAAACACCATTTTGAGATCCCATAATGCTTGTACCATTTGAGACTCTTTGATAAACACAGTGTCGAAGGTCAATTATCATGGTGTCACCTTTTCCCCTGATCTCTCTTGGTCTTCCCACGTTTTATTGTTATCGAAGAAGATTTTCCGTCTGACTTACTACATAAGGAGGTTGCATGCTCTTGGAATTACTCGTCATTTACTCTTACAATTTGTCAATTCTTGCATATTACATATTATTCTTTACTGTTCACCATTATTCTTCCCCGGGCTTCTGAGAAAAGACTCTACTATATTGCGGAGAGTGCTGAAGGCAGTTAGCAAGGTGTGTGGTGAATCTTTCGAGGTCATAATTAATATGGTTGTTGATAGACATCTAAAGTCATGTAAACTCCTGGCAGGTGTTATTTTATCAGATACTAACCATCCCCTTCATTCTTATCTTTCTCCTTGTGTAGCTTCTGGTAGAACGAGACGTAATTACATTAAAATTCATGCACGCAAGCAGAAGTATAAAAGTTCTATAATACCCTACCTAGTAAATATACTCTGTGAAGAACAGGTTGTTAGAGTTAACCTAGTCAATAACCTGCATTCTTAACATGTCTCTAACTTGAAAAGTTGTACAGTTTTTAGGTCTTTTTTAAAACCTTTTTTTCCTTTTTTTGTATTTGTCACCGTTCTTTTGCGTAGGTAACTTGTTGAAATACCCTGTGCTGAGAATTCTATATTGTACCAAAATGTAATATTGAATAAAGCCATTAATAATAATAAATTATTTTAAGTATTCTATGAAAAGAATTGCATACTTTGAAGTTAACTATTATCATGATTTGAAATTAAGTACAGAACTAAACAAGGGTAGCAAATATTGAAAAATCTTTTTCTGCTCTAGTTTATGACTAATCAACGATGAGTAACTTGAAATTTAGGTGACTATAATGGATATATTTTCTGTATGATAATGAAATCTCAATGAAAAACCTGACGTCTAATTCATATAGACAATAAGTTTATATTTTTCAAAAAGAAAATACTTGTTATCACATGTTTTCAAGTGTGAATTGTGACTATGAATTACACCATATTTTAAGTGATTGCACAAAACATGCCTTAACACATTATTACTAT